TACATCACCAACTTTTATGGCACCAAAGAAATAGGCCTTTTGCATGAAATGGTCAAATGGTACTAAATCTGCCATACTGGATRCCAAAATACCCACTGGGATGCTYAAAACAAAGAAAAGTAAAGCTTGACGGGCTGCTTTCCTTTTGTTCTCGATGTTGTTTACATTCTTTGGGCATGCAGTAAAAATACCATGTGACCGKTTTATGCAAAAGTATGCATTGCAGCATTGCTTGCACCTTTAGTTGTTTAACATAGAGCGGATTTCGGATGAGTGGGACACCATTACTGCATGGTTACYGCACAGTTACCGGACCTGGCCTGCACAATTTTGGTGAACCAATGGGGMACTWGAATTTGGTTACAGTACGATTACGGTCACAGTACAGTACCGTCTGTTTCCCACTCATACGAAATCTGCTTTAATTCTAATAAATCTAATAAATTAGAGAATTTTTGGTACTATCTAAGCTACACCAGGTTTGCTGAGTAGCACTTATAATGGTAAGGTAACAAAGTGTCGTAAGTTCTCCAGCAAGGGGGGAGGGGTGTGTTTTGGTCATCCTCTTCCAGGTAATTACCACACTTTGTGCACTTTTTGGAAAATAAGCCTTGAAAACTATCAATCCAACACTGAAATATTAATCAATATTATCAAATTTATTAATAATTCATAAGGTAAACACAATAGAAAAAATATTGCCGTGACCRCATCTCTACTGTATATGAGCAAGAGATTTGTCCTGATTTGCATACAACTTTAACTTTGATTTTCTCTTGAAAATGATATTTTATCTTGACGTTTTTTTTTTGCAAATCATGCTTTAGCTTATGTTGGAATTTGATAAGCAATATAAAATATTCACRTCCGACCTTTATGGGCTTTAAAACTGCTCCCTTGCAGCTCGCAGTTTTAAATGACCATAAAGGCCTCCCACTCATATTTTATATATTAATAATTTCAATATTATTGAAATATTAATATCATTGTATGAGAAACAAGGCAAGAATACATCAAGTACAATTATAGTACAGTATTTCTGCCTCTTTCTAAATGAAATCATTTTTATCGAATTATTTTAAGTAAAAAACCCTACTTACCAAGAAACTGACAATCTTTACGACTGGTTCTCCTGTTGTTGAATAATGTAGAAATGCAGATGTGGCATAATCTGTCAGCTGTGAACAAGTAAATAAGAATTAGATAATAAAGTGAGAGTAAAAGTCATCTCCATTTACAGTACAAACCTTTTGAAATACTAAATGTTTTGATGGTGTCCACAGATCCTCCTGAAATAAAACAAGAGTAACACGACTCAGAAAACAGCTTTGATTAACTTTTTTTGTTATTTTTTATTATAATTAACTTACCTTTTGTTCATTAGCAGTTTCATTGATGCCTCTGATGATGACCTGGTCAATACCAATCCCTTTAAGTACTACCATAGCTTTGAATGTTTTGGGAACAGTTATCTGGACATCAATACCAGTCAGTGRTACACTTTCAATGTACACAAACATTGTAACATTGGATTCCGAAATCATGTGTGACTGTGTAAGTGTGCATGTACATGTATGCAGATAGACTTCTCRCCATGTGTATCAGAGTTAAATCCTTATCATTTTTACCTCTAACATAAGTGCTCCAGAAATTCTAAAAAGTAGAATTCTGAGATTGGAATGCTTCTGTCGTAAATACTGAATCAGTTTGTCAAGCTTGTCTACACGCATGTCACTGAAAATAACAACAAGGAAAATCAAGTGTACAATGAAATARTATTATTATAATACTTCAAAATTTTTGAATGGATGGGTAAATACATGAATGAAAAAATGAGCAATGAAAAAATGAATGGGAAGTACTGATGAAGAAATGAAGAAAATAAATGGGTTTTAATAGATGAAAAATGAAAAAATGAATGGGATGCTCTGATAAAGAAATGAAGAAATAAATGGATAAATAAATGAGAAATGAAAATTGAATGGGAAGTATTAAATGAAATGAAGAAATAAATGGATGTCTTTTTTGAAGAAAAGTTAAATAGTCTTTACCTTTTAGAAGAGGATACTCCATAGCGAGGCTTTTTAACACCCTCGTCACTTCTTTTSGCTGAGCATGGATGTATTCTTTTCATACAAGAAACAGCTTGCTGAGACTGTGTATGAAGCTATAGGGAAAACAATTAGTAAGCAAAGAATCTGAGTAAACATAGTAGGGCTGCTGGTCTATCTATCCATGATATACACGTAGACACTTTAAAACAATTTATATTTCACTCTATTACATGTAACATGCTGAAACAAGAAACTTGRTTTTGGTACAAGGAGCTCAAAGCATGAATTAGCTGAGTTTGGCACTACGGTAGCAAGGCAAAGCCAATCCGGCAATCTTCATGACAAAAGCTCAAATGTTGAGCTATCATTGATGCAATTTCATGACCTTTTCTTATGCTTTTGACTCTATTTGGATTGACATTTTAATCAATACTGTACCTAATGTATTTGGGTCTAAAAAAATTGGACTAAAATTGGTTTGGTGCAACAATGTCATGACGTATGAACTGGGCCTTAAGGACACATGTTTTAACAGCTATGCTCATCAACCCATCAATCCCATCTATCATATATTCACTCATTTATTAATCTTTTCATTCATTCATTCATTCATCTATCCCTCTCCCAGACCATTTATTCACCAATACATTTGTTCATCCATTCATCATTCCAATCATTCATTTAGTCATTCATCCACTCATTCCATCAACCCCCATACCAGTGATGTATACCTTTTCATGCCAGTTATAGGTTCCTACAAGGTCTTTGTATAACTGCGTTTTGTCATCGCCAGGATCAAGGCTTATGAGACCTGCACTACCCAAAGCAATTGTYCCAAAGTCTGTCTTCATGTGACTCACTTGTGCAGCCGATTTTTCTATGTTACTGAAAAATGACCAACAAAATAAATAAAAACCCGAAATCACGCGACCGCACGTAAAGCACAGAGTAGAGCAGCAACTTTACTTTACGTATATGCAATATAAAGAAAACGAAGAGTACATATGTACAGCACGTAGCAGGACGAAGTTTGACAGTGCTAGCTACCTCACTGATTTCTGTATATTCCCAAAGTGTTTTTTCAAGTCTTGGACAAACTCTGCAGATTTYAATGGCTCCTGAGAACTTTTGTCAGTACTGCTGATAGGTTTAGACACAAAATCTTCAAACAGCTGTGAAACAGAAGAGCGCAAGCCCTTTGTAGAGGACAAGCATTGTTCAATGACCGTGTTCTTTTCCGCCATTTTGTTTTTATGATCACCAGACTCCAAAGAGTCGGTAAAACTCGGAAATGTCTCGGTCATTTGTCGGGTATCTCCGGTTATTATCGAAAAACGTCGTAAATCATTCATTGTTTTTATGCCACGTAGATTTACCAGGAACGCCTGGCGAGAATCAACCAATAGACAGAAAAAAATATGTAAAAATGGATATTTGGAAATGTGTGGTTTGAGGAACTATCTAGGAATACTACATAGGACGTATTTTGGAGCTATGAAGTTCAAAGAACGACTTATTTTCGTAACTTGTTTAATTCTTATAATTCTACCGTTTCTATGGCTCCACATCGCCGAGTACCAAGAACGCCAACTGGAGGAATCTGAACGGACTATTAGATTACTAAAAGTAGAAGACAAATACGATTTTAATTCAATGGAACATGGTCATAGTCTTTCAAAAGACTCAAATGTTTTAAAAACTCAAAMTAAGGATAATAAAGTAGGGGAAAATATTCAAAATGGTCAAAAATCAAATGTGGATACAGGCGATYTGAAGTCAAAAAACAAAAGATCAACCGAYGAAAAAAGAAAGCCAAAAGATGAAGACGAAGACGATGAAATTGAAGCAGACGAYGCATGGCTTGCATGGAAAGAGATGGTTAATTTTCGTACTCTTACRCCTTCRACATCGGAAGGAGTTAACACAATTTTGGATGCCTTAACATTTAAGCCTGTCGTCGCGGCTGGGATTGGGTACAAAGGAACTCAGCTAAAAGCTACACTATTACTCGAGGGAAAGCAAAAAGTTGTATTTAAACCGATGAGGTATTTTAGATCTATTGTATTTGTATTTGATAATAATTGACTACCTAATGGAGTGCATTGACTGTAAAGATGTAATCTGATATATTTCTGATTTATAATCAGTGCATAGAGCACACCTTGACTATTGTCTTGACTTGATGTCTGGCCACACGTCTGTAAGAGCATACTTGAAAATTCTCTGTCTTGTGACCTATGGCTCAGAATATGTTGATAAAGAAATGAGTAGAAATGTTTTTCTTATTTTTACAGATGTTATATATWTACTAATGTATCAAAACTATAAGGCATTAATTTAATCACATCTATTAATCAATTCAGTCTTCTTTCATTTGTTTATTCATTTCATTCCTTCACTTATTCATTTATTCAGTCTGTCAGTTATAAACAGATCAATCAACTGGTTTTAAGACATTTTGCCCCCATCTTAGCCTCTTTTGATAAAAGAGCAGATTTCTTAAGACTTTGCACAGCACAGACATAAAAAMTACTCTGCTACCTCCTTAAAGTGAGGGTAAATCATACTAGATGACAGCACAAGCAAGCCAGACATTAAATTGTAAAATCACAAAATGAATTCTGCTTTCAGGTATCCAAGGGACTTTATAATAGAAGGAAAACCTTATGATGGCTATGATAGACACAATGGTGAAATAGCAGCGTTCCATTTAGATAGGTAACTCAAAGTCATTTTATCAATGGCTTCTTCCATTCTGATCCTTTAATTCTTGCTCTCTTCAATCATAACTTCCTTTATTTTGTGTTTCCAGATTATGTTCCTTTCTTTTTACCTTCCTTCCTCTTTCTTTTCTTCATTCCTTCCCAGCTTTAACATTTCCTCACTTTGTCCCTTTCTTTTTCTCTTCATTCCAGTCTGCAATGTTTCCTTAATATATATTTGCATTCATGCTTCCTTCTTCCCTTCCTAATTTCTACTCTTCGTGAAGACATTGGTTCTTTGCCAAAGGCCTCAAAACTTTCTTGGTCTGTTCCTCTGTTGTGCATTTTCCAACCACGTTCTCTGGTCAATATCCTTTCACTTGGGATCCTGAGAACAAGGTTGCATTCTTTCCATTCATCTTCTCTTCTTAAATTATTTTGTTCATGGTACTTACTTATTTATTGGTTTGCAAATTACTTATTTCTYAAAGGATATTGGGGTTTAACAGAGCTCCTCCAGTAGCCGGAAGAAAAATAAACTTAGAAGATGATATAGAACCYATTGCTGAGAGAAACTTACTCAAAACTTTTTTCAAAAAAGGTCAGTGAACTTACCTGTCTGAGACAATTATAAAATTCAAGTACTAGCTTCCACTGCAGACATAACTTTTATAGAATAAAGAAACCGGATAAAAACAAAAAAATATTTAGACATGGATAAGGCTAGCTTTAAAATATATTTTGTAAATTCACCAGCCCTTATAAAATGAACATTCTTATATTAATTGGTCTGTGAATTCTTGCAGATGGAAACACTTGCTTTTATGGCGTCTGTCTTTATTGTAAGAAGTCAGAGCCAGCTTGTGCCAACAAGACAATAATGGAGGGCTCTGTTACAGTCTGGCTTCCTCAGGAATGGGCATTAACAAAATGGCGACATCCGTGGCAAAGAACATACAGAAATGGAAGGAAGGCAAAGTAAGAAATCATATGTTTATTATAACATTCAGCAAAGCTCAATAGAGTGCTCGTTCCACCTCCTCTCTTCCCCCCAAAAATAGAGCTGTTGGCACCCAACAAGCATTCAGTAAGTACGTCAAGCAATGGAGGATAGTAGGGGGAGGCAAGCAATTACAATAAGAATTCTGCACAAACTTTATAATATTTTGCAATTTTACATCAATTCTCATTCTTTTTGTCTAAGATTGTATGTAAAAAATAACTGATGAATAGTGCAATAAAGATTGACTTGACTTGACATGGTATTTGCTGTATTTATGTATGCATACATTAAATGTTTTCTGAGGGATGTAAGTGCCTCAGCTGCCCAAAGTCACTACAGCTCTGAAACTAGTAATGTCAATAATGGAAAATAATAACAATGCTGATGTGCTTGTGCTTTTCCAGGTGGGAGGTAGATAATAATTACTGCAAGAAAGTCGTTACTAAACATCCATACGATGAAGGACCAAGACTTCTTGATATAATAGATACAGCTATATTTGACTTCCTTATAGGTGAGTGTTGKTCACTGTAGCCTTGTAGGTCTTAAGAAAAGTCGTTTTGATTGGCTGACCAGAACAATAGGCTCTATTGTTCTTTGGTTTAACTCTGTGTTGAGTGGACCAATCACAAACAATCTTCTTAGAAGGTGCAGMCTTGTGATGTGTACCCTTGCACAGTAAGGCGAAATAATATTATATATATTATGATMGTGGTGATTACAGATGATTGTCTATCTGTAGCCCAAAAGGAGTCTGTATTTGATAGAGACTGTATTTGTTCATCAAATAAACAGACTGCGTTCTTTTAGGTAACGCTGACAGACATCATTATGAAGTCCTGAAGAAAGGAGATGAACAAGGTGTGCTAGTCCACCTTGACAATGCTAAAAGGTACATTTTGATCAATAAATGATTTCCGAGMAAAAAATAACTGCGCGCGCTTGTGATTTTTATTTTTGCGCATCGGAAGTTGTCTATTAACTAATTGTACAATTTTGTACTCGGTGAATAGTAGTAATGTATGCTTTGTTTTGAACAGCTTTGGAAATCCAAATGAAGACGAAATTACTATATTAGCACCTCTTTATCAATGTTGCAGGTAAATTGCATTGTACAGATTCTCGGGGAAACCACCATCCTCGGGTACCATAGGCCGCCCAACTAATACATTAGAGACGGAAAAGAACGAATGCGTACGCTTTTATTATGCATACTGAGCTCTATGTCAGGTCAGACGATGAGTCTGCTACTGGTAACATTGTAACCCAGTACAACCTGCCTCATGGACGGGTCGTCGGCGTCTAAACCGGCTCCCCCACCAGTCTAACTGGTGAGGAGGGTGGCATGTACACCCAGCAGGACTAAAAACAAGACCTGTCAAAGGGCGAATGAGCTCATCTGAGCCACCGGCCATCATGCATGCTTCTTTATTCCTTGTATGTATTTTTTGTAGTGTCATTTATATTTTAATTTTTATTGTTGTAATTTTTAAGTTTGAYGTCTTGGGACGGACTAAGAGCGGCAGCCATGAGGCGCCATCTTAAGCTCGCAGTCTACCATGACTCTGTCATTGTACTTGTTTGTAATTTGAAAGCGCTTAGAGCAGATTTGTATAAACGCTATATAAAAATAAAATTATTATTATTAATTATTATGTATCGGCGCGCGCTCTTAGCAAAAATGCGGGTTACCTGTGGTGTTACGTCACTATCTCGCGCCTCGCGACTACATACTAATCTGTCAAGATTATAGTATACCCGCGAGGCGCGAGATAGTGACGTAACACCACAGGTAACCCGCATTTTTGCTAAGATACATAGACATAATAAAAGCGTACGCATTCGTTCTTTTCTGTCTCTAATGTATTAGTTGGGCGGCCTATGGGGTACCCAGGCGTAATCTTCTGTCGTTCGTTCCTCAGATTACCCATGGGTTACCGAGGATGGAAAACAATTCTAACTTCGCGTATTGTTCCTGAAGAAATTCATGTTTAAGAAATATAAAACGGCGCGCGTGTCTCTGTCCTCTGATATAAAACACGGTGGGAAAAATACGAGAGAAGCAAGCTTAGAAATACGAGCGTAGCGATAATGATTCTTAGCTAACAAAGGAATCTGACATTATCACCGTTTATTTCAAGGGTGCGCCGTTCAACATGGGACCGACTGTACGAAATAGCCAATAATGAATCCAAGAAACTTAGCGAAATGCTGAAAGCTTCAACAGACTTAGACGCCTTATCGCCAATTCTAACTGACGCTCACTTGGAAGCTGTGGACCGCAGGCTTTCAACTGTCATGAATATTGGCAAAAAATGTATCGATAAAAATGGAAAGACTCGTGTACTAAAAGACGATTCGACTTAGACTGTTGCCTTCTACTGCTACAAGACTTGGATATTTTATATTTCTGAAGCGTAAAGAAAAGCCATAGAAATTTCAAGTAAAGAAAACTTAACTTATTGTTGTCAAAATCCTGAAAGAAACAGATTTTAAACGTTCCGCCACGCTTGCTGTAAATACAACTGGACCGTCTTACAGTTTTGTGGTGAAGAGAGCTGGACTTTATCGAGGTCAACTTCGACATCATGTAAAATACGACCATTGAAAACTCCATGAAACATTTTAATCCAACTGAGAAGAACTGAAAGTTCGACTTCCCAATGCACAGTTTAATATTATTTATTGAAACACTATTTATTGCGCAAAATGAATAATTTATTATAACATTTTGATATATGATAGAGTTCAGATGCGATATATTTTAGTAAAATTTTATGACTAGATTTTTAAAATTATATTAATTCAGTAGCCGTCTTCTAAGGTTTTGAAAGTTATAAAACAAGAAGAGGCTGCGAAGGAGTCTATCAATAGATATATCTATAAATGAATAAACCTTTGCTCTTGTCAGTGAAGATTATATTAAAAGTAAATATATGGTAAGCATGATGTTTTTGTTTGCATTTGCTTTTGTTTTGTTTTTAAATTGGTGTATTAACTATAACGAACACTATCGTCTAACTGTAGACTTACTATGTTGAAATGCATGGCATTGTAACAATAACGTTTAAGTAATTAGTCCATAGACGCATATTGCACCTGCATTAATGACGTCATTGGTGATATATACTGCCACCATAGTTAGGGAGCTGTTAACATAAGAACATGCCACAGGTCCGATATAGAAAATCCTTCAATAATATAAAAGGTTCCCTATGCTAAAAGTTTCTAATCCCGTGAGGACGGCGGAACTTTCATGTTATAAGCTTGTACAAAATTGTAAGGGGCCCGAGGTTCATGTTGATGTCTCGAGCAAGGCCGAATTTCCACCATCGCCTCGTGCACGTTTTCTCGTGATCAAACCCATTTATGCAGTACCAACACTGAAAATCAGTAATACTATTTTTCTTCGGTTTTTCTTGGCTCTTTTGATAAAATTTTTCACTTTAAGGGCTTGAACCTTTTCCATCGCTTTTCACTCGAATGATTAGTGAGCACTGAGTGATCTCTGTTTTTAAAGTACTTTCATCAATAGTATATCAATCTTCTTGCTTCCTTTAAGATTGCATTGGGTTAGTTCTAAGTGTTCTGTTATTGAACTTTATATGTGTACGTGAAACACCACATAACTGGTGCTTTCTTGTCATACTTCGACGTAGTTAGTCGTATCGAAGCTAGACTCCAGTTCCTGGTTCGAGTTGATTAAGTTGGTAGAAAGCCACTTTCCCACTAGTTATTGCTAAAGAAAAAAGATATATAATCTTAGGATAACAAATTAAGATGATACGACTGCTGTGATTGCACGCCCCAATCTTAGTAAAGGCCTGTTTACGCTTGCAAGTTTTGCAGCGCGATTTGCTATCACGCATCCAGAATCGTAGAAAATCGCCGCGAGTAGCGACCCGAGTAGCAACTAAATTTCAAGCATGTTCGATGGTCGCGCGACAATCGAGCTGCAAAAATCACAAGTATAAACGGGCCTTAAAAGACCTTAAAAGTCATTCGTATGAAATGTTTAATCATTTTCCAGGTATTTTGGATGACATTAGAATAGAGTGAAGTTAAAAAAAACTTGAAATAATTATTACAGCTAATAAACTTTAGTGCGCTCTAATTGTATCATTTTCTTGTGTCTATTTGAAAGTCACTTGAATAGTTTGTTTCACGGGTTTAGGATTTACTTAAAAAATTTGACTATGATTAATGAGTGATAGTCAAATAGAAATAAAAGAAAACAATACAATTAGACGTATTAAAGTTTAGTGTAATATCTATTTCACGAGTTTTTTTGGCATCACTCTAAAGTCTTTAGTGTCATAAACCAGGCTTAAATGATAATACAAAATGGATTACTTACAAGAAGGTTGTGGATAGTGATATCTTCTTCGAACTTTACGAAGAACAAAGATTAACAAACCAATAAACAAAATCAAACAAGACGATATGCCAACACCCATCCACAGCCTGTCCGTCGTTGGCTGGTAACGATACTGTACAATAATCAATGTCTGGTTRATGACAATACTKGAAGGCGTATCCAAAGTGGTACGATYAASTATGGAAGACTTGGTCGATGATTTCGTAGTTGAAGGTCTTGGCTTAACTGTTGCCGATCTGGCCCTTTTTGCGCAGGATTTTGTTTGAAAGTTTAACCTGCAGGATTGCTTGGCGGGAAGTCCTTGGTCTATACACTTTTGCTCTATGTCGTCAACTGTACTGTCTGGGCAGCATTTGGTRCAAGGCCAACAATCGAAGGTTATCTCGCGATAAAATCTTTTGGAGAAGAGATAACATTTGAGATTTCATGAATTGATCACAACATTCGTCCGCATCTCACCCCAAAATCAATGTAACAAACACCGCGGCCCAAACGAGAAAATGTTGGATTATCGGGTAACATTATTGGACGATCCAACATGATTTTAGATGATCAGGCAAAAATCCCATATTAGTGCTGGCCAAACGGCTTCACCTTATTCCTCAAATCAGTCAAGGGAAAGTTCCATTGATAGAATGGTTATTATTTTGGCTATTTTAAAATATTTAAGATAGAGTTTTTGTCCAATTGTTCGTTTGTGTTTAAATTTGATTGATAGCTGTCAGTAGCTATATTGGTCGTCAAGACGTCTGGCGACAAAAATATTGCAAGAAAGCACTTTTCATTTGGGAATTTCCCTCCCAATTAGAAGTTGYTTTGATGTCKGATCAATATCGTCGCCATGGTAAACAACGGCCATGAAACGACATTTTCTGTCACGCAACACATCACACAAAATCTAAAACTAAATATGTCTTACCCTGGTTTGCAYTTGCCACAAATCGCGTTATGCGTTGCGTTACATTGTCTTATGGTGAACTCATTGGGTCCACAAATACTACACGGCTTGCAGGATGAGATGTCATTGGTATCTGAAAACGTCACGCCATCCTTGCATTTGGAGCAYCGRATCGGAACGTCCATTGTCACGTACGATGAACATTGCGGAGAAAGMCCATACCCTGTCGGACAATTTGGACAGTCCCAACAATCTGTTTTATTGCCATTGATACGAGTTATCTGATTCCAGTTGCAAGGTGGACTTGTTTTTGACAACTATAAATTAAGAAAACATGCTTATCATGCTTTAACATTCGGGGTTTTTCCCGTTTCAAGTTGGGTGTGAAAGACAGCGAATGGCACAGTTATGTCAGGAATTGCCTAATCAACCGAGCAAAAACTGCTAGTAGATGCAGTAAAATACGAAAATTCATGATAAATAATGACCATGGATATTTTTCAGTTATTGATGTTATTTATAAATGTCAAATTGGGAGCCTTGTTTTCGTCGTGTAAACCCATGTCAGTTGCGATGCCAAAGCGTATTGCAATACATCCACACTCTCTTAAGTCACAATTAAGCATGCATAACTTTTTAAAACTTCATAAACCTACCTTCGTAAAGAGTATCACCACTAATGCAACGCGAACTTCTGATGCAATCTCCATCTTTCTGTATGATCTTCTGAAAGGAACATTTTGAAAGTGTGACTTTTATAAATGACCAAATCCTTTTCCTATACCTATCTATTTACAAGTAATGAAAGCATCAAGAGATACATCAACTCAGAATTTAGAGGGAAAAAACTCAAAAACTAGGTAAAAACAAAATGGAGAAACAGATGTTTAATGTAATGAACAGAGTGAACAGAGTTTTCTTTTAGTAATTACTGGAAATGTCACATTYCATTTTCCCCTATTAAATCTCCGCAATAATTGCCCGTCTACTAAACATTATTAAAGTTACTGAAGAAAAGGTCTTTGTATTGATTTCCTTTACTAAATCCCCTTCTAAAATACCGGCTACGTCTTGCTGACGCAAGTCATCGTACAATAACTGATGAGTAGGCAAGATTTGAATGTACTTAAACCATCCTGCACCAGTTGATGCCAGTCATCATTTCGTTAATGTACGAAGTTGTACATCATACATTACATGCAAAACATTTATTCCCATTGCCAGAATATTCTAATCCACTACGCCAGTTACCTGARTGTTCAGACTTCGTATGTTCCTTCCTCTTCGTGTGTGGTGCCAGGAATGACAAGCGCGAGCAATGTAAATGGGGCTTTCCCGTATAACACCTGATTGGTGACTACCACAACGGCTCAACTGACARACAAATTGAAAACTATTTCCACTCATTTTTATAGCCGCCGACCCTATTGCAAAAAAACATGAGATTTTGCATCACCAGCTGTTTAAACAGCAGAACTGATAAAAAGAAATTGCGGAGTCATCTGTTTGAAAGGTTGAATTAACCATTTAAAAACAGCTAAAARATACATTCATAGAAAATAGATGCACGTGAGCCTTCTTTAGACAATATAATTATACGTCATTTCCATTACGTCATATCCGATTTTCAGCAATGATGTAAGAG